CTCGTCTGTGGCGAACCACTTCAGCTCGCTGCCACCACAAGCCCGCACCAGTGCGGCTAAGGATGTCAGCTCGCCTCCACACTTTTAGACTCGCGAGCTCGCCTCTCTTCGTATTACCTCTCAGCTCGGCCATCGCCAAGCTCCACCCGTGGCCACATCCATCCCAGTTCGTCAACTGAACACCGGGGGGGGAGTAATGTTGGAATAGGCCCAACAGGCCCAACACCTTAACAGGGCTGCGCATGACGGACCTAAACTACCACCCATTAGCCCAAGCTGAAGGAGCATCAGTACAAGCGCACCCACGTGACCAATGCCACGTGGGTCAAGGGGATGCTTACACATGCAGATGTATGTCAGCACCAAGGGGCTATAAATACCCCCCAACTACCTCCGATGAAGGTAATTAATCTCTACGCTTCTCACTCTGCAAATACTCCTCGGGAGCATCTTTCTCTAGAACATTGAGTATTGCTGACTTGAGCGTTGGAGTGTTTTCCCCGAGGAAACATCCTCAGGATTTTCAGGTGTAGAAGCAGCTGGAGACTTCAACAGTGTTGGATTGTGAAGCTGCCGAAACACATCATATCCTTAATTTTAAATTTTTAAAAGATGGTAGCCTATTTATATTTTTTATAAAAAATAATTATAAAAAATATAATTAGAATACCCTTAATTTATGTTTTAGAAACACAATTTGATAAGTCATTGACAAGATTCTTTTTCTTTTTGTGCAAATCATTTGCAATATTCTGATGTGTATACTTTTGAAGACAAAAACTTAAAAGAATGAGTACGTTAAGGGACCGAGAAAGATCACTTAGATGGGTGTTTTTTTGTCCTTTTTTAAATAGGCAATGATAGATGGGTGATCGATAACAAGAAGTCTTCATTGCCTTTTTTTTGTTGAAAAAAAAAAAAAAGATAACAGGAAGTCTGAACTCTATAGAATGGCCGAGCGCTGACATTCAGACCTCGATGAATGATGGTTAGGTCCTCGCCACTAATGCTAGATACAATAATAGTGTTGCTTTTGACGTGATGTATCCAAGTCAAATCGCACGTGCCTTGGCCGGGTGTGGTTACGAACGTTAATAAAATTGTTAAGGT